GTAAACTCGCAGGTAAAAGTTAAACAAATTTATTCCATTGCACTTGGCTCGGTCCTCTTTCTTTCGAGTGTAACTGCAGCCAGTACAGTAACAAGAGCAGTTTCTCTGCCCAGTGGTTGCGCAAGTCTCGGCTCTGATGGCTGTTTCCTCTGGCAGTCGTGCAGTATGTGCGTTCACAGCTCAGGACACAATACAGAAGCTCCTGATCGCCATGCACGCGCAGACCTGGTTCTCTCAAGATCAAACCGCCTATCCGAGAGATGGTAAGAAAATAAACACCATAATTAGGGCGTTTTACATGGTTTCTTGCTGCAGCTCAAGGCCTGAACGTGTCATGACATCATGTTAGGTCTGCAGGACAAGTTTGGTAACTACAAAAACAAGAAGTTCTGTTTCCGTCGACGGTGATCTGTATGGTGACGAGAAACTCAGCAACTTTAGGAGCAGAACCTGCAAAGAATCAGACTCAATCTCAATGCCTGGAGTTACGGTCCTGACTGCTCGTTCGGTTCAAATTAAAAGTGAATCATGCATTTAACTTCAATTAAATCTAGAGCAAGAAACTCAAACAACTTAAATAGAATTAAACTGTAAATGTTACAGTTTTGGCCGCTGCACAAAAATGAGCATGCTTTTAATCTCAAATTAAAACTGAAGCAGGAGAAAAAGTTTTGCTTGTGCAAAATCTAAAAACACGTACAGAGCAAAACTTGTATTGCTCATTTGATTCAAATTAAAACCAGATCATGCATTTAACTTAAAATTAAAACTAGAGCAAATGGAAAAAGATCAAAATAGTCAGGAACTTAGAATAAAACCTGAATAGAACTTTTTTTGTTTGTTGTTTAATTCAAAAAGATGGTCGTGCATTTAACTTCAAATTAAAAATGCAGCAAGTGGAAAGGTTTAGCAATTTTGTGCAAAAGCTAAAAACACTAAGCAACTTTAAGAGTAACATTTTTAAATGTTAACAGTTCTGGCATCATATTTGATTCAAGTTAGAAATGATGGTGCTTTAAATCTCAAACTAAGTGTAAAAGCTCAAAAGTAAAACTTAGACTCAAACTCTAAATGTTACAGTTCTGGTTGCACATTTGATTTGAATGAAAAATGAGCATGCTTTTAACCTAAAATTACAACTATAGCAGGAGAAAAAGCTCAGCAATTTTGTGCAAAAGCTAAAAACGCGTACAGAGCAAAACTTGTATTGCTAATTTGATTCCAATTAAAACCAGATCGTGCATTTAACTTCAAATTAAAACTGGAGCAAGTGGAAAGGTTCAGCAATTTTGTGCAAAAAAGCTAAAAACACTAATTAGCTTCATTAATTAACTCTGACATCATATTTGATTCGAGTTAGAAATGAATGTGCGTTAAACCTCAAACTAAGTGTGAAAGCTCAAAAGTAAAACTTAGAATCAACTCTAAATTCTGTTGCATATTTGATTGCAGGTTTTTAATATTGATGCCAAAACTTGCATATATAATCAAACTAGGGTTATTGCAGTTCTGGCACACACGGGTTGATTCGAATTAAAACCGGAGTCAGATTTGATTTCACAGATTCAGATCAGTGACGTCACGCGCTCCTCTATCGCCTTAAGCAAATCCCCCGCATACAGAAGCATTGCACAACACCACTGAAACCCGACATTTACTTACAGCAAACTACCCCAGATGACTGGAATCAGAGCAGTTCAATCGCAAAGAACCAACACAATCGGGGAAACCCGCGCAGATTGAACCTGAGCCCCCCGCAGAAATGTGAATTAGCCCCTTAAAGCGAGTCTGCAATCCCTTTAAAGAGTCAAGTTGCACACATTTTGTGAACTTTAACACCCTAAAGACTCAGTTCACGTGCTGCTAAAACCCCTGGAGGAGAGAGAATATTCCGTTAAAATAAAAACAAACATTAAAACCCCGTTAGACTCCAGGAGACTGATTGACATTGACCATCCACACCCGAGAAGTTTGTTTATACTCCAGAAATTCGCATCAGATCCACCCGATAATCTACAAATCCGCAGAAACGCCGCGGCTTCGCTCCTCTTGCGCAGTCTCGGACTGGATTTTCTTTAAAGCGACACTAACGAACTCAGATTTACAGATTAATTCTCCTCCTCCGAAACAACTTTCCATCACCCGGAAGTTACGCCTCCGCGTCCTACTAAGGCGAGGGGTCATGAATATTAATGACGCCGCGCGACCAATCAGTGACGGGCTGACGCGATTAATATTCATGAGCCCATCCTTCGCTTTAGTACGTTTTGAAATTTTGACAGACGCGCTGAAACTTTACGTGTAAATTAAGAGATTAGACACTGCCACCTAGCGACTGTGATTTCAAATGAGCGCATTTTCATTATTTGTGACCCTGGAGCACAAAACCAGTCACAAGTGTCGATAAGTGAGATTTATGCATCATCTGAAAGCTGAATAAATAAGCTTTCCAATGATGTATGGTTTGTTAGGATAGGACAATATTTGAAAAACCACCAAATCGTGGCCTAATGGTTAGAGAGTCAGACTCATAATCCAAAGGTTGTGGGTTCGAGTCTCGTACCTCGGACTGGATTTTCTTTAAAGCGACACTAACGAACTCAGATTTACAGATTAATTCTCCTCCTCCGAAACAACTTTCCATCACCCGGAAGTTACGCCTCCGCGTCCTACTAAGGCGAGGGGTCATGAATATTAATGACGCCGCGCGACCAATCAGTGACGGGCTGACGCGATTAATATTCATGAGCCCATCCTTCGCTTTAGTACGTTTTGAAATTTTGACAGACGCGCTGAAACTTTACGTGTAAATTAAGAGATTAGACACTGCCACCTAGCGACTGTGATTTCAAATGAGCGCATTTTCATTATTTGTGACCCTGGAGCACAAAACCAGTCACAAGTGTCGATAAGTGAGATTTATGCATCATCTGAAAGCTGAATAAATAAGCTTTCCAATGATGTATGGTTTGTTAGGATAGGACAATATTTGAAAAACCACCAAGTCGTGGCCTAATGGTTAGAGAGTCAGACTCATAATCCAAAGGTTGTGGGTTCAAGTCTCGTACCGGCAGGGATTGTAGGTGGGGGGAGTGAATGTACAGCGCTCTCTCCCACCTTCAATACCACGACTGAGGTGCCCTTGAGCAAGGCACCGAACCCCCAACTGCTCCCCGGGCGCCGCAGCATAAATGGCTGCCCACTGCTCCGGGTGTGTGTTCACGGCGTGTGTGTTCACTGCTGTGTGTGTGCACTTAGGATGGGATAAATGCAGCGCACTAATTCCTAGTATGGGTCACCATACTTGGCCACGTCACGTCACGTTTAAAGCTGTTCAAATTAAGTTCTTAGCAATGCATATTACTAATCAAACATTAAGTTTTGATATATTTACAGTAGGAAGTTTACTAAATATCTTCATGGAACATGATCTTTACTTAATATCCTAATGATTTTTGGCATAGGGGGAAAAGGTATAATTTTGACCCATACAATGTATTGTTGGCTATTACTACAAATATACCCCAGCGACTTAACACTGCTTTTGTGCTCCAGGGACACATTTAGAATACTTATACTAAGCAGTGTAGTTATTTGCATATGTAAACATAAGTAAACACATACAATTGTGAAAAAGCACTAATTTATTTGTTTTCATTTTTCCAAATCAATTCACAATTCCTGATTAAAGACCAAAGTAACCCACTGATGTAGATCTACAATATTATAAATGCACATCTTTCAACTCGTCAATAAAGTGTTCAAGTACAGTAACAAAATAAGGAAAAGTTATGGATATGACCGTGCAGCTCCCATAATGCATTGCTATTTGATTTGCATAACCAAATTGTCATGACGGGACTAGATGTTCTACTTGAAAGATGCTTAAAAACATTTTAATAAGCGTTTTAATATGTAGGTACCTTATGTGTGTTACATAAATGAATAAAGGCACTTTACCTCAATGTTTAACTACCAGTATATAACATGTATGGTACTTAATACAAGTCATTCTAGAATATTATATGCAACACACACACACACACACTTACACTCACACACACACACACACACACACACACGCACACGCACACTCACACTGACACACACACACACACACGCACACCGTCTCCCCCTCACACCCACACACACACTCACTCACTCACACACACACTCTCTCTCACACTCACACACACTTACACACACACACACACACGCACACCTCATTCCTGATGCTTGTGACCTGAATCCGTGACAGATAGTATTAAGTGTTATTATTTTCTTGTAGTGATAGTTTGTCACTGTAAACACACACAGCTCAGAGTTCAGATGAAGGTGAGATGCTTGTCCTCTGGGATGCCGTAGTTCTTTTTATTCTCTTCAAACACCTGCATCAGAGCCTAAAACACAGAGCAGCACTGAGTCGAGTGTGGAAACAAAGCGATGCACATTAAGACTGGTTATGAAGTGTGTAATTCACCTCCATGTAGAGCGTGTGAAGAGCGTCGATGTCGTCTTTACTGGGACACGGATTCTGAGCGACAGGAATGGGACGCCCCACTACAGACACACAGGTACAACACTCCAGATTATTGGACTGAAAACCATTTAAAAAAAAAATTTTTAAACTACTTTTGATACTTGAAATACAAAAAAATAATACAATAAAAATATTAAAAACTTTATATTTCAGCTAGTTGCCAAAACAAAAAAAATGACTTGATGTACTACAATAACTAAAACTAAAATAATAATTAATAAAAACGTTTCATCAGTTTAATGCATCCTTGATGAATGAAAGTATTAATATTTCACACGTACCCACGGTGTGAATGGGCTTCCTGTAGGGCAGCAGACCGAAGCTGTACTGGAAAACTCCTCTGGCGTGAAAGAGAGGCAAAGCCACGCCCATCATCCTCTGGAGGCGGTCCTGCACTCGGCGGAGGGCGGAGCCTGCGGGATTCTGCATCTGATCAAAGAGCTCGTTCTCCCCAAACGAG